CCTCCTCCCCCTCCCCCTCCCCCTCCCTCTCCATCGCCTTAACCAACACTCGCGCGCAGGTATTGCGAACCGCTTCGCGTTTTTCTGTACCTGGTCGAAACCTGCCGCCACGTGGGAGGGCAAGAGCGGATGGGAATTTTGCCGAAATGGGTGAACTGTGAAAAGGTGGGAGGTGATTCAATGCCTGGCCTACACTGTATCAATCAATCGATCGATCAATGGATCAACCAATCAATCAACTGAGAAATCGATCAGATCAGTCAATCAGTTAATCGTGTAGGTCAATCATCAACCAAATAATTTTTTGATCAATCAATCAATGGATCTATCGATTGATTAATCAATGGGTGAACCGGTCGATCGATGTACCAACCGGTAAACTAATTGCGCGATGAATTGGCATCTGGGTCGATCAGGTTATCGCTCGAGGAAGTGGCTGATGAATCAATCGATCAATTGAACGGATCAACCGTCGATGGGTCGATTTGCCAGCCAATCAATTTGCCAACCAACCAATCAATCAATCAATCAATCAATCAACTGAGCAATCAATCTGTCAATGAACCAATTAATCAGTCGATCAATTAACCGGCAATCTGTGCATCCTATCAATCAATCAATCAATCAATCAATCCATGTACCACAATCAATCGGACAATGAATGATGAGCCCCTCGATCGTACAATCAAGTAAGGGGAGAAGAATTGTTGGTGTGTGGTGATACCCCCCCGAGGATTTGTTGTATGTAGTGATATCCCCCTGAGGGCTGTCCAAATTCTGTTTGTGTGGTTGTACGTCCCGAGGACCTTCTTTTTTTTTTTTTTCTTTTTTTTTTTTGATGGTACCCCCTGAGGTGGTACTTCCCGAGGACTCTCCAAAAATTGTTTTCTGTAGCCCTGAGGGCCCTCCAAAATCCGTCTGTGGGGGTACCTCCCAAGCACCCCTCAAAAATTGTTTTGTGTAGCTGTAGCCCCTGAGGACCCTCCCAAATTTGTCTATGTGGTGGTACCACCTGAGGACCTTCCAAAATATGTGCGGGGGTACGTCCCTAGGCCCTCCTTACCTCCTCCCCAGGACCCTCCGAATTTTTTCGTTGTCCTTTCGTTGTCCCTGGCTGTCCCTCGCCAGGTCCGTTGGGA